TACAAGCCTTAAGGTTTAGGGTTTAGGGTTTAGGCTTAATCACCCCAAACCCTAAACCCCCTAACCCCCCTAAACCCCCTAAACCCTAAACCCTGAACCCTAAACCCCCTAAACCCCCTAAACCCCCTAAACGCCCTAAACCCTAAACCCCAAACCCTAAAGCCTAAACCCTAAACCGAACCCTAAACCGCCCAGGTGTCTGTCCAGCAGGCCGACTGCGAGAAGGACCTGGCGGCTGCCATTCCACTGGTGAAGCAAGCCGAGGCCTTCTCTACGCCGGGTTTATAACCGCCTAATAATGGTTTAGGGTTTAGCTTTGTCATAGTTGGGTAACATTTTACATTTTTAAGGGTACTTCAACCCAATAAGGAATATAAATTTAAATTCCCAACCATGAACTAGTTAGGGTTTAGGGGTTCATAAAGGGGCCTTAATAATTACCTATACTCTTTTCGGGGTTAGGTTTATAACCCTAAGGGTCCATGTACCCAACTAGTATATACATTGGCCCCAAAGTAGCTATATAGGGACTACATTAAGGCCAAAAGTATATACTATTTGGGTACATGGACCCTTAGGGTAACAGCCTAATAAAGGGGCCTTATGATAATTACCTATACTCTTTTGGGGGTTGGGCTTATAAAGCGTAGGGGGAAAGGGAGCTTTAGGGTTTAGGGTTTTGGGTAGGATCCTGAGTGTAAGTATCGTTTAGGATTCACTGGAGTCCTGGAAGAGCCTTGTTCAATTTGGTTTTGAAAGACTTTCCGTATTTCCCCCCGCATGAACCCGAAAGCAACCCACGAATGCTTTTGGCCTGTTACAAAGAAGACGCGTGTAATTCAAGCAAAAACCCTAAACCCTATGAGACCTAAACCCCAAGCCCTAAACCCACCAACCACGCCTTTGAGTCTCCGGCACCAAATTGTCCGAAGTAGCGAAAGCGACAGAATCAGTCGTCCGAAGCCCATGGGCGCCTATGTAGACACAAACAGGCAGCTGAAGCTTTGAATTCCATCCTGTTAGACCTAAACTTAAGGTGAGGGTGTGATTTAGGGTTCAGGATGTGTAGGGTTTACGGTTTAGAGCTGAGGTTTTGACGTAATAATCCAAACCTTCCACTCCTCTCACAAGGCAGGCCTACCCCCTGCTGCCTAAAGCATTCTTTAAGCTCTTTTAAACCCCTAATTATACAGCCCAAAACCCCTCCAACACCACTTCCTAATCCCGGTAGGAACCCAAAACCCTATATCATTGTTGGTGCAGCCCTTCTACAGCTGTCTTGAAAGCCCTTATGACACACTTATAACGCTTTACGCCTATACCGCCTATATCCTAAACCCTAAACTCTACACTCGCCTAAACCAGCTCCCAAACCCCTAAACCCTCGACCCTAAACCCCGAAAGCCCTAAAACAGGCTGCTCTGGATGTGCTGGACAAGAAGGCGGGATCACCCTAAGACCCACCCCTAGACAACAAACAAAAGAAGCCGATGCAGAAGTCTTTGGGTTTACGCTTAAGGAATTGGTGTTTAAGATTGAATTAGGGAGGGTTTTGCGGTTTAGGATTTTTTGATTGGGGGTGCAGGATTTTGGGTTTTGGGTTTGGGGGTTCAGGATTGAGGGCATTGGTCTTAGCATTGAGGGTTTGGGATTGGCTTCAGGCTTGATGTTCTGAAGCCTTAAACTTCAATCCCCAAAGGCGGAAGACGAATCCATCCTAGGCTTTATTTGCCCTCACCCCTAAACCCTAAACCCTTCACCCTAAACCCGAAACCCCTAAACCCCTAAACCCTAATCCTAAACCCAAAAACCCTACACCCTAAACCCTAAACCCTAATCCTACACCCTCAGCCCTAAACCCCTAAACCCTAAACCCTAAACCCTAATCCTAAACCCTAAACCCTAATCCTAAACCCTAAACCCTAATCCTAAACCCTAAACCCTAATCCTAAACCCTAAACCATCATCCCCCCAACCGGTTGCGAGCGTCATGCTGGAGCGTTGAGCGACTGAGACAACAGCCCGGAGAGACTTCATCGTGTCCGAGAAGATGCTGACGGCGAAGGAGGGTTTAAGGTTTAGGGTCTAGGGCTCAGGG